CTATCCCTCTGGCTGAGTTTCACACATAAACAAGCTGACGAGCAATGGACCTTTTTCTTTTTAAGAACGAAAAAAAGGGAAAGATCGCATGTACAAGAAAATCCCAGAAAACACTTAGGTTTCACGTTCTCAATGGGGAATAAAAGCACAAACAAGGCCGGGCACGGTGGCTCAAGCCTGTAATCCCAGCACTTTGGGAGGCTGAGGCAGGTGGATCACAAGGTCAAGAGATCGAGACCATCCTGGTCAACATGGTGAAACCCTGTCTCTACTAAAACTACAAAAAATTAGCTGGGCATGGTGGCACGTGTCTGTAGTCCCAGCTACTCAGGAGGCTGAGGCAGGAGAATTGCCTGAACCCAGGAGGCGGAGGTTGCAGTGAGCCAAGATCGTGCCATTGCACTCCAGCCTGGGTAACAAGAGCGAAACTCGGTCTCCCAAAAAAAAAAAAAAAAAAGCACAGACGAATTGGGACAAAGAAGAAAACAAAGATGGCAAAAGTTAGGTTGAAGAGTAAGGCTCCCATGCAGAGAACGCTGACCATCTGGGAAATGGCCATAGAGTTGACGGAGAACGGCAGTGAGCTGCTGTGGCTAAAGAGGTAGGTGAGGGCCAGACAGCAACATGGATGACATGTTAAGAGCCATGGGCAGAGAGGGATGGGCTTCAATCAAGTCAGCAGGATGATCAGATTTGTGTTTTGTGTCTTTAAGATGGTTTTCATATGAAATGAGAATAATAAATTGGAAGAATGCAAGAGTGGAAGCAAGGAAAAAGAGAGGGGCTGATATAATACAATCAGTGAACAGGAAAATGGCCTGAACAAAGAAGTAGAGAGGGATGGATAGACACTAGTTCTTTGAAAAGTGGTACAGTCAGGACTTGGAGACTGAACAGGCATAAGGAGAGAGAGAGAGAAGTCAAAGACAATGACCAGCATTCTGGCCTGTGCTGATGGGTGGGTGGAGCTAGGAGTGGAAGAGTGAAAGCTGGTTTTGTGAAAAAAAACATGTCAGTTGCAAGTGACAGTGGAACATTAGAGTGAAGATGTCTGGCAGATGGGGCAATGTGGTCATCAGCATCCACAGAGCTAAAGAGTAAGTAGAGTGAGAAGTGGGCCCAGGGGTCTCCAACATAATAAGAGGCAGGCAGAGGAAGGAAGATTGAAAAAGATGAGGAAAGAGCAGCCCCAGAAGCAGGAGGAAAACCAGGAGAGCAGGCATGATGGACATCAAATAATGAGAGCATTTCGAGAAGGTGGTCAGTTTCCACAGCTGCCAAGGAGACAAAAAAGACAAGGACTTAACATAAAGTTTTTCACGACCCTGGCAAAAACAGAGGCGGTGGAGAACAGTGGGAGTAAAGGGTGTAATTCTAAATCTTTTGCCAGCAAAATTACAAATGACTATACCATCTAGATGTTGAGGATAATTTGTGAAAAGCAAACCACAAAACAACCTCTAAACATGTGATAACAGATGAAGCAGAAAATAAGTCTTATAATTTATTTACAAAGCACTATCAACCATCCATCACCATAGGATATGCTTAGTGCCTGAAATTCTGAAGGGAAAAATATACAACACCCGAACAAAAGTGAAATCCCTAAAATAGTAAGCAAAAAGATGTATCATTCCAATGTTTAGGCACTGGATTGGCATAGGCATGTCTAAAATGCCAACACCATGCTGGGAGTCCCTAAAGGCTTCCCCTAGGACTCAGAGGACATGTCCCCTTGTAATCAGGCAGGAAGAACTTGAATACAAGGCCAGAGAACTAGCTAGAAGAGAAAGAAGGTTGCCATTGGCACATTAACATGGCAACATGAGGGGAATTAGTAACCCCGGCCTAGGCCTAGCACCATGCCCAGTAAACATTAATTCCCTATCACCAAGAACCTTCACTTCAAATCCCCTCATCTACATGACTAATCCACATTGGCAGTTTGCTTTCTGGAACATGGAGTCCAGCCAAACTAAGTTAACAGGCATAAGAAGGAAACCTAAGAACAGAAGAAAGAACAACACATCAGCCATGAAAACCACAGAAACATTAAGAGAATTGGACTATTGCTGTTAAATCCATTCAAAGTCATTTGTATTACAGAAAAGAGAAAGATCTATGTGACCTTGGTTGCCCAAGGTCACACAGAGTTTTGCTGGACTTGGGCAAGAATCTGCCTGGTTTTTTCTGCACTATACCATGAGTCCTGAAAGCCAATTGCTGCCAAATACCCGTGTCCAGTCTCAGCTCTCTCCAAAGCTCCAGACCCGTGTAACCTACCAGCTCTTCAACAACTCCTCTGGACTATCTCAAAAGCTCAGCTCCTGACATCCAACACTGAACCCATGATCTTTCCCCAGTGCCAGTGTTTCATCTAGGGCTTCCTAGCTCAACAAGTGACACCATTATCCATCTGCTTCCCGAGCCAGAGACCAGGGAGTCGTGTCCAGTGTTTGAACTCCAACCCTGCCACTTCCTAGCTGTGATCTTAGGCAAATTAAATAAGGTATCTAAACCTCAGGTTTTTTCATCTGAAAAATGGGATAACAACACTAATTACTTCATAAGATAGCTGTGGGCACTGAAAGAGATAATGTCCTTAAATTGTCAAGTTCATAGGAAATGTCTTTGCATATGCGGTTCCCTCCATCTTATCATCTGCTCCCCACTCCCACCCTGTCACCTGGATAACAGCTATGTACTCTTCTCATTCCAACTCAAATGTTGCTCTCCCTCCAGAAGCCTTCTTTGATCAGCCCCTGCCCCTCAAGGCTAGATCATACCCCATGCCCATTTTCATCCTCAAAGTACAGTGTAATTCCCACTGTTATCCCATATCATAATTATATATTTACTTTGTGGTGGTTTGGTTAATGGCCATCTCTCCAACAGCTCCATGAGGAGGTACTGTAAGCTCCATGAGGGCAGCAACTGCTAGAGTTATGCCTCATTTTTGTATTCTCAACACATTGCACTGTGTTGAGAATACAAAATAGGTGGCATTTAATAGGTGTTCACTAAATATCAGTTGAGTGAAGGGCTCAAGAAGCATATTTGTCAGCAGAGAAGGGAACTTGGGGATTAGAAGAGAAGCCACAGGATGCCAATCCAAATGAGCACCCATGACCATGCCATCCAGGGGGCTAGGTAGAAAGGGTCTGGTGAGCCCAGTCACACCGCTGTAAAGCTCAGTATGCACTGCTAGTTTGACTATCATCCTAACCATTCAGGATCTGGCCTCTGCAGACCCAGGACATACTCTGTAGGAACCTGCACAGCCACATTTTGGAGAGCTTAGGGATAAATCCCAGTCCTATTGATACCTTTTCTAACATAAACCTCACTCCACAGTGGGTGTGATTCTCATGTTTAAAGGCACATATTTTTGTACTGCAGGATCTCTAAACACAGCCAACTACTACATCTGGAGCTCAGCTGAAGAAACAATTGTCTCTTCTAACTTGGGGATAAAAATGAGCTGTACTGGCCCTGGGAGCAAATGGCATATTGGTTCTCCAATGTTGTACCAATAAGGGATTTTTTTGAGAATATTTTTTACTGCACCCAATGTTTCTTTATGCAGCAACTCTAGAACCTAGCCTTAATGTAATATGGGGCTCTAATGTGGTGCAAAGTAATGAAAACAGCAGGTTTTGACACTGGACAGGCCTAGACTCAAATTCTCCCTTTGTCACTGACTAGTTATGAGTGAAACCTTAGGCCAGCTATTTGACCTCTCTCAGCCACAGTCAACTCACTTATACTATTAGAAGCAGCAGTAATGAGATCTTATGGTTGTAGGAAGCATTAAATATAAATAAATAGACTGTGGCTAAATTAATATCTTTAAGAAATTATTTGTACACAGAGTACCACCTTAGAAGATCAAGTTCTACACCACGTCTACAACAGTGCCCCATCCCCAGAAGGTATTTCATGAACACCAGGATCTTAAGACTTTGTTTATTCCATTCTAAACTAGCAGCCCACTTCTTCATGGGCATGTCTGACACCACCCTTGTGAGTAGAAGTGCCTGTGCAAAAATGTTCCTTCTGCCCAAGTTAGACAATTGAAATGTTATACAAACTGCCCCACTTCCTCTTGTCTTTAGTGTCAAATAGTGAATGCGAGTGCGTGCGCGCGCACACACTCACATACACACACACATCCTTCTTTGAGAATATAACTTCCCCAGCACAGGACCCAGGGACACTACACAAGGCAACAGCTGCAGACAGAGGACAAAGTAAGAGCTCTTTATCCAAAGGAAAACACTGGAGAAAGGGAAGCTGAAATTCTCTAAGCTGTGGTATAGCCAGAACAAACTGAGCTATCATCTGTGCTTTCGCCATAATATTTCTTTGGTATTTATTACAAAAGGAAACAGTAGCTTATATAATAACTGTTATATAATAACTTATATATTATATATATATATATTATATATATAATTATTATATATTATATATATAATATATAATTATTATATATTTTATATATATATATATAATAACCACTTATATAATAACTGTTCTCCAAACAGTATTGGTCTAGGCACTGAAAGAGAATACAGAACTACCTCTGCCTTCCAAAAGTTTACCATGTAATTAGAGAAACAAAACAAATGGAAAACAGTTAACTATGCATTAAATGAGTAATAATAAAGAATAAGGCAGAGACAAGACAGGCTGCTTTAGAAAAAGTGAAGCTCTCCTGAAGCTGGTGGCTAATGATTTGATAAGTAAAGGTAGAGGGATATACTAAAGACCAAGAAGCAGCCTAGTTTATTCTAGAGGCACTGAGAAGGGGTAGAAACATGCACAGTCGAAAATATTTAGGAATTTATACAAGCAACAAACAAGACATGCAATTTGCATGAGGGAGCAGTTTTAGATCTTCCTTGCAAGGAAAACGAGGGGCCATCAAAAAGCCATGTCCCCAAAGTCCAAAGCTTGCCTCCACTGTCCCAATGGCATAACCCTACATCATCACTTACCCGGATAAGGGAAGTCTGATGCCGAAGGGGCTTGGTTCCTGGGCCCCCTGATGAGGATCCCTCGGGCTGGACGAGAGGCTGCCTAGCTTCATAAGGAGCTGAAACAGCAGAAAGGAAAGTTAGCATGGTATGCAAAGATTCCATCCAAAAATGATGACTTCACATTCAAACTGATACAGCCTCTGCTTTTCAAGAAAGAATTGGCAACAGAATCATAAGTATATACTCATAGGGCCACCTAGGACTGACAACCCCTGATTCTCTATGGCACAATTTCACTAAACATTCAACCAATGCATGATAGGCAGAAAAATATTTACACTGAGTTAAGATTAGGAATAAATTGTGAAGGTGGAACAGTGAGAACTTCAATTGGGATAGAAAGCAACAATTGCTAGAAAAGTGTCATAAGTGTTCAAATTCCAAATATGAGGTAAATTCTATATATACCCCCTATGTAAATGTCTTCCATTGATCATCTACTTCCCCAAGAAGAAAACTATGCATTTTGAACACTAAAAACCAACATTATTTTTGAAAAATAAATCAGAATGTAAAATCATACAGAGAAAAATACAAAAGTGAATATATTTTATATTTATTATTCTACTATTCACTAATCAAACTTTTAAAAAACAATTTTGCTGCCTTTAAAAAAATGTTTTAAACCACAAAAATTAATGTATGTTTTCACTATTTTTATTTCCAGAAGACTTAATAATGATCTTGCCAATATGGCAGTTAAACATAACTAGGTAGTATGCAGCTCCAACAGAAAGCAGAAATTATTACCCAAGTTGAAATTGTTTCTCATCTCTATAGGTTAATAGTTCAAGTTTTTAAAATATATAAATAAGTAAAATTTTTTCTTTCTGTAGCTTACTTACAAATAAAATCAGGTAGAGAGCAGAGCAGCCTGCTATGACCTAATGTTTAGCATAGTTTGCTCTTTTTAAAATAAAGAAGGTACAACAATAGCACATCGAGAATGATAAATCACTCTTGGGCACATATCTGCTTTTTATATTTCTTCCTAGTAACTGGAACACAACGTTATGATACATTAACACACATTAAAATAGCAAAACAATTGCCTGGCAACCCACTAAGTGGATTTTCAGAAATTGCTAAGAATAAATACAAATATAAAAACTGCAAAACAAACATACATAGCACATAATCCAAATCTTAAAATGTAAGTCTCAGCTTGTAGGCAGCCATTGTCTTCTGAGAAATAGGATTTAAAAAATCATTCCATGCTGATGAAACACTGAATTAAACCGTTAACACCAATTGCGCTCTGCCAAAAGGCTTGAAATAAAGTAGACTGTAGCATGGTTGGGGTGCCAGTGGTCATGAGCTTTCCCTAGGAAGCAAATCTCATGTGCCTCTGCTTCCCATAAAAGCTTCTACTTCTACTTCCAGGGGAGACACATGGGGGAACAGGCCACCATCTGGCTTTTGACTTCTATCTCTCACCTACAAGGGCCTTCCCTTGGAAGAGACAAACCTATCTCATCAGTAAGGCTCAGACAAAGACTCAGCTGCATGGGGGACCATTTTTAGAGAGGCAGATTCTCTCTTCCTACTTGTGTGGGAAACCTGGGATGGCCAAGCCTGCCTGTGACTGGAAAGGTGAGTGTCTAAAGCCCATCTGGTCACAAATCTAAGACATGTGCTCTCATCAGCTATATCAACAATAAAGCTGATATTCAGGCTGTCATCAGTCTGACTTCTGGCTCCTTCCTCAATTGGATCTGAATTCAGGAAGTTAAAAGTAGCTATTACTCAACTGTCTTCCCAAATCAACCTCAAACATGCAATACAATGCAAAACAAATAATTCTTTAATCCCCTTACAAGAGGTTTAATAAGAACTGGAAGTACCACCTTTCTCCAAGGGGAGGTGTACCCCCCCAAAAAAAAAAAAAAAACCTAAAGATTTCATCATTCTAAAGTTCACTGTGAAACCAGAACTCTTCGGCAGTTTCATATACAACTACCCTAAAACTGAGAGACTCTATTCCTAGGAGCCAGGGAAATGACAGCATATTTTACAAAAGAACTTGTACACGAATGTTCATAGTATCCTTATTCATAACAGCCAAACACTGGAAACAACTCAAATGAATATATTGTCGAATTGTGGTGCATTCACACAATAGATTCCACTACTAAATAATAAAAAGGAATGAACTACTGATACAATAATATGGATAAATTTCAACCATTATGCTGAAGGAAAGATGGCAAACACATATGAGTACAGTCAGTCATTCCATGTGTTTTCATTTGTATGAAGTTCTAGAAGAAGCAAAACTAATGATGGTGATGAAAATCAGAACAGTGCTTACATTAGGGGGCAGGGAGTGACCGGAGAGGGTATCTCTGGCATAATGGATACGTTCAATTATTGATCAAAGTGGTAGCTACACAGTCCTATCCGTTTGCTAAAACGCAAATTGAAAATCTAAAACATGTGCATGGCCGGGCATTGTGGCTCACATCTGTTCTCCCAGTACTGTGGGAGAACAAAGCAAGCGGATCGCTTGAGTCCAGAGGTTCAAGACCAGCCTGGGCAATATGGCAAAATCCCATCTCTACCAAAAGATACAAAAAAATTAACCCAGTGTGGTGGCACATGTCTGTAATCCCAGCAACTCAGTAGGCTGAGGTGGGAGGATCACCTAAACCTAGGAGATCAAGGCTACAGTGAGCCATGATCACCCCACTGCACTCCAGCCTGAGAAAGTGAGACCCTGTCTCAAAAATAAATAAATTAAACGTGTACATTTTATCATATGCATATTTTACCTCACTTTTTAAAAAATGTGAAAAGAAATGAAGGCATAAACAGCTTTGGCACAGGCTGCTGAGAGTCAAGAAACATGGAGAGAAGCAGGCTGCTTCGTTACCACTGGGGGAATGGAAGCCCAATTTGCATGGAATGAGGAGAGAATAGGGCATGAAGTAGGTGAAACAGAAAAGCTTTCTAAGGAATACCAAAGGTAGAACTTGCTGACAGGCTGACTCAGTAAACAAAAACAGTTTGACCTGTGAATTAAAAACCAACTTCCAAACCCAAGTAAGATTAGAAATAGAAAAAAAAAAGCCACTCCTGAAAATATGGAAATCAGACAGGGGAAACTATAAAAGGAAAATGAAAAATTCTCAGCCCCATTAAGTTTCTGACCCCACTGAGACATTCAGGTTACAAGGACAGTGATTTGTTGTTGTTGTTGTTACTATCCATTAGCAACATCATCTTGCACGTGCATAGGACTTAATTTCCAAACAGATTTTATACTCACGTTCTAACTTAATCCTCTAACACCCCTCTAGGATACTGTTACTCCATTTTAAGAGAGAAAAGGTAATCATGGTTCAAAGATGTTCAATGGCCTGCCCAAAGTACAACAGCTAGTCACAGAAACCCATACCTTCTGCTTACAATCAAAAGCTATTGCCATTATGCCATGCCTGCTTCTCTGCAAGATTACAGCCTCTCTTCATTCAGCCTAGCACGCAGTTTTATTTCTGTGTCCCTCTAAAAGTCACCACTATTTTTAATGCAGTAAAAACCTGCAGAAACTGGGTCATTTGGGGCCACAGCCCACAAAATAAAACAGGAGAGTTGCAGATATCCAATTCTAGAATACCTTTAATTGGTCATATCTTAATCTAGGAGTCTGAACCCCAGGAGGACAAGATGCTGCAGTGAATTTCCAGTGCTTTAGGCACTGCAGCCTGAGCAGCCAACTCTGCAAGTCATCCTCAGAACTAACGTATTTTACCACCTAACGAGGCCAGCAGAGCATAAATATGAGCAAGAAGACAACCCCACAACTGTGCATGCAACATACTCCTCAGCAAAATGTTACCCTAGCATTTCCTTTAGCCTTATTCCAAAGCATAAAACCTAAATATTTTCATTTATGTGCTCGGTCTTCAAAGATCAACTCTTTTGCTTTTTTGGTTATATTTCTTAAGAAATTTCATTAAAGCAGTTACTATATAAATATGTTTGGTGTGTTTGCAGAAAGAAATAACAATTCCAAAAAAATACACACCCTTAACATGGTATGTTCTGTTCAATAAAATCCATTTATGAAAGATTAAATCATCTAGTTGTTAAAAAGTCTAAAGATGAACTAGTTTCTAGGACAGGAAACAAAACATTACTCAGATATGTTTAAATCCATTTAAAAAAAAAAAAAACCTTGCTTGAGAATATAAAATTAAATTGAGCCATGTTTCCAAAGACAGGGGTAATTAAATCAGGAAATTAAACAACTTGAAGCATTGCTGCCTGGTAAATTAAGGAGTCGCTAAGACACTGCCTGGGACAGCTGGCCCCCAGGTCGCCCCTTACCTGGATGCATCTGTTCTGCGCTGCTCCGCAGTTTGCTGTAGCCATGGCTCAAGGGCACCCTCTGGTAATGAGGCGGGGAAGAAGGAGGGGAGGCGAGGGGTGACATCGTGGGAGACTGTGTTTCCTGCTTCAAAGAACCAGATCAGAGTTCAGAGGCGATCACTCAAGCCTGGCGTTCTCAGCCGCAGTCAGGAAGCATAACGCAGCTCTACTGCTGGTGACCCAGCTGATTTAACAAATGGGGGGAAATGTTTCTCAAAAAATGCAGCATAGTTAAACAGCAGTGTCTGAGGATTCAAAAAGTCTCCCAGAGAATAAAATGTTATCAGTGCTGAGTTACCTAAATTACTAAAACCAGCCTGAAACATTTTTGGTTATTCCAGTATTTTCCTTTGGAAAATGAAAGACACTGATCACATGAAATAAGATTCATACCCCCTCCCAACTGTGATCTCTCTGTGGATAGATTTCATTTTCTTTCATTAATAAATTTATTTCCTGGATTTATACTTATCAAGTCTACCAGCAAATGTGAATATTAAAATATAGTTTTAAGTGCTTAATATTCTTGGAGCTTACTACGTTGAAGTAAAATGCTAGCTTTTTTTTGACAATGAGAGATTGCAAAACAATTCATTATAGGTAAACCATTCCAACCAGCTTACTCCCAAATACTAAGGTGAAATCTTAACAAGCTACAATATGAATCTCAATTCAAATATGAACCTGATGTAGAACCGTAGGCAAAGTAAGCAACCTTATCTGCTGCTGTGTTTCCTCTTTAAAAAAAAAAAAAAAAAAAAAAAAAACTTTACTAGTAGACTGGTAAATTTGAAGTACCCAAGTAACAAGAAAACAGTGGGGTTTTTTTGGGTTTTTGTTTTTTGGATTTTTTTTTTTTAAGACAGGGTCTCACTCTGCTACCCAGCCTGAGGCACAGTGGCATGATCACAGCTCACTGCAGCCTTGACTTCCTGGACGATCCGCCCACCTCAGCCTCCCTGCGCCACCATGCACAGCTAATTTTTTTTTTTTTTTTTTTTTTTTTTGGAGAAGTGAGATCTTGCTATGCTGCCCAGGTTGGTCTTGAATTCCTGGGCTCAAGTGATCCTCCTGCTTCGGCCTCCTAAAGTGCTGGGACAACAGGCATGAGCCACTGCACCTGGCCAAAACAATGTTTTTTATCAACACACAGACTATATACATATATAAGCTCCCTTAGTCTTAAAAGAAATATGATCAAATACTCTTCCCTTTTTTTTTTGCTGGGCACGGTGGCTCACGCCTGTAATCCCAGCACTTTGGGAGGCCGAGGCGGGTGGATCATGAGGTCAAGAGATCAAGATCATCCTGGCCAACATGGTGAAACCCCGTCTCTATTAAAACAAAATACAAAAATTAGCTGGGTGTGGTGGCAAGTGCCTATAGTCCCAGCTACTTGGGAGGCTGAGGCAGGAGAACCACTTGAACTCAGGAGGCGGAGGCTGCAGTGAGCTGAGATCATGCCACTGCACTCCAGCCTGGCAACAGAGTAAGAATCCATCTCAAAAAAAAAAAAAAAAAATACTCTTCTTCAAGAAAAAGAAAAATATATTTGCTCTAAAGCATGAGCTCACACCCATAGATTGGGTGGGGCACGCATAAACTCAGCCTGAAGTGAAAGGATGTATTCTCATTCACACAGCCAGGGACTGGGCCTGGAAATATCCCAGGCCATCAACCACCATGGGACAGTGGACCCTCATTCCTCTCCAAATGCTGGTGGGAAATCATGCCAAAGAATATTGACTGAAAATTCCTACACCTCCTCCTTTTTAAATATATCCCTGAAGAACCAGTTTAAAATGTGTCAGAATTATGAAAAGTGACAGTATATGGAATTGTTTAACAAGATGTGCTACACCTCCCTTAACTTAATAAAATTTCTGCAGCAACACTTCACTTATACATCACAGGGGTAAGTCATAGAAGTTAGTTTTCCAACATAATTGGTTAACATTCATTGCATTTTAAAAACATTTTCATTTGAGCTTTTTTTTTTTTTTTTTTTTCTTTTTTTTAGACACACTCTCGCTCCATGGACCAGGCTGGAGTGCAGTGATGTGATCTCAGCTCACTGCAACCTCTACCTCCCAGGTTCAAGCTACTCTCCTGCCTCAGCCTCCCGAGTAGCTGGGACTACAGGTGCACACCACCATACCCGGCTAATTTTTGTATTTTTAGTAGAGATGGAGTTTCGCAATATTGGCCAGGCTGGTCTCTAACTCCTGACCTCTGGTAATCTGCCTGCCTTGGCCTCCCAAAGTGCTGGGATTACAGGCATGAGTCACCATGCCCAGTCTCAAGTGTTCCTATGATATAATAAATTTCTTTACCTTATAGAAGATACAATGTTGAACATAATCTGACTTCTCTGCATGATTCAGTATCTTTGTTGGAAGTATGAGCTGTACCTTGATGTCTGCGGGTATACTAATGTGTAGACTATTTATTTCTTCCTGATAGGCCCACTCTTCGAGATTTTATACTTTTGTATCCACCAATCATCATCTGACTATTGCAATTAGTGGTCTAATTTTAAAAGTCTATCCTCCCTATTCTGGTTCCAAACCTCCTAAATGGGTAATGGCAGCATTTCCAAAGGTGATATTCCAAGTATGTTCCCCAAGAAAGAATTTCCTAGTGAAAGAAGTTTAGTAAACACAGATTTCCAGGTCTCTTTACTGCAGAACTTCTCAGGCCCTTTATCGTGCTAATGTGCACTACGAATTTCCAAGATTGGGGATTTTGTCATTCCCTCAGGAAGAGGATATGAAGCAGCATTCTCCAAACACATTTATTATAATAGGAAAAACCTTTTCTACATACTTCTTTTTGGAGAAAAGAACCTACTAAAAACTCCTGGAAGTTACATTTCCAAGAATCCATTTAGAAAACCCCTGACCTAGGGAAATCAATAGATGTATGAAATCGGTAGCCTTATTTTAGACACAATTCTACTTTAAAGTAGGCTTTAAAGGGGCCTTGAGTGGCTGGTGATGATTCGTATGTGTCAGCCTCTCTTTCTTGCGAAGAGAAAACTTTACTGGCTCACTTCCAAGTCTGTAATTGGGTTCCAGATGGTAAGATTTGCTGGAAGCTGAACAGTATATACGAGGCCCTGCTACATGAGGTTTCACAGTCAGAATCAAATGAACATGTCTGATCAAACTGTTTACCTGTTTATCCTCATCGTCCATTCTTTTGAAGGAATTTTTTTCTGTGGTTAAATATGGAATCTGAACCTTAGTTCCATGCAGCTCAGCTGGGTTCCCAAATCGTATCTCACCATCATTCTTTGACATCATAAAGCGAGGCAGAGGCAATTCTTTAGGACCAGAAATCAGAGAAGCTCCAGTCAGACTTTATTTAAAAACTGCAAAAACGGGGAACTCAATGGCCAAAAGATGAATCATTTTTGAGGAAAAATTCCAGAGCACTAAATATAGATTTAGATTTAGATACAATGAGTACTCCTAGAAAAATGTCATGATTTTTTAAATGCTATGGTTTAACCAAAGTATTCTGGCTTAACATTTTTCAATGTTGCCAAATCACAGAATAAATTCAGATTTGGGACTTATCTCCCACTTCATCCTTCAGTCCAATAACCAAGAAAAAGGAGATGACATTGTATAATACAATAAGTGACAAATGGTGGCAGGTAAAATTCATATAGTGCTTAAACATGCCAGGCACCATATTAAAGATTTGCAAACATTAACTCATTTCCTCCTCACAACAACTGTGTATGATAAAACTATCATTACCCCCACCCCATTACAAAAGTGGAAACAGACATAAAGGAGCTAAGAAATGTCCCCAAGATCATACAACTCATCTGTGACAGAGTCAAGGTTTGAACACAGGCAAGCTGGTTCTTAACTAGCGCTCTACAGAAAGGTGCCTTGTTCCTAAGGCAAACTTACTGGGTAAAACAGTTTCTCATCCTATATAATTCTTTCAGAAATTTTCACATCCAATCTCTGGTTGTCTTTTCATAATGGAATAAGAAAAACAGTATCAAGTCAGAGCAATCAATCCATCATTCAGCCAGGTTCTACTGTCAAAACCATTATCCACTCATAATGTTGCAAAGAGTTGAAATGCAATGGTTTGGTATATTTATCTTTCAAAATTCTAACAAAACTATTCTGAAAGCGGAAATGATACTTTGGCACACTTCTAGTTCTCGGCACATCATGTTACACACAATCGCGTAGCACAAAACCCTACAAAAATGGGGACAATATTATGGATTATGCATAATGACTTGCATCTGTATCCATTGTTCAGGATAATATTCATCAGTGTGCCTTTGCACTTCCACTAGCTCTCTATTCCAAAAACACAGCTGCACTTTCAATGATTGATGCTGTGCTAAGGCCAGAAAATATCTTAGCAACAGCAAGCAAGTATCCTAGAGCTCCCCAGGCAAAGAAGGCCCCTGGTTCTCCAATATCCACATGATGTTTATTTTTAGTTGCTATGTCCACATTTGATTCAAAGAAGCAGGTGGCCAGGAACGGCGGCTCATGGCTGTGATCCCAGCACTTTGGGAGGTGAAGGCGGGTGGATCTCCTGAGGTGAGGAGTTCGAGACAAGCCTGGCCAACATGGTAAAACCCCATCTCTACTACAAATACCAAAAATTAGCCAGGCATGGTGATAGGCGCCTGTGGAGGCTGAAGCAGGCGAATTTCTTGAACCTGGGAGGCGGAGGTTGCACTGAGCTAAGATCACGCCACTGCACTCCAGCCTGGGCAACAACAGCAAAATTCCATCCCAGGGGAAAAAAAAAAAAAAAAGAAGCATGCAATATGACAAATCCCTGCATGATCAATCAGCCAAGGGCCCAAGAGATGTAAATAGAGTAACCAATCTTAATGTTTCCCAACCTCAGGCAGCTCTCCAGCACTCAGAGCAGGGATGGCCTTCAAAAGCAAAAAGGCAAGTGAAAAGAAACTCTAGAATCTTAGTAAGTCAAATATAAGCTAATCCTATGGTTTTGGTCTCAGGTATATGCTCCAGCTCAGTCTGCAAAAAGGATCTAAAAAGATGAAACAAGATCACATAAAATAATTTGCACCCTGATCTTCCCATAAGAGGATTACTCTACTTTGAAGTATTTATTGAGGGAGAAAAGAAAGAAATGCTCAGTATTTACTGGCATTCAACAGATAACTCCAAGGAACAATGGAATACACTCACGGAATTATGAATATCAATTATTATACTAGGACTTAAATAGGGCTCCCAGATATTATCTAGGACACTGTCACTTCACACATTCTTCCACCCTGTCTACGGAAATTCTTTAGAACTATTTGCCTAGAAAACCACCTCTCCCCTGCCCCAGACACCCACCAAACAGCAAAAGACAAAATACTGCTGAATTTCTCTCACACTTTCTTTGTTCCTGTGGTTTTAAACAACTCTCACTTAACAGAATTGCAACCATACATAATAATATTCTTATCATTGAAAACTTTCATGAAGGTGCCATTTCCCTTAGCCTGATCCAAGCTTTTAAAAAGTGAAAGGTAAAAGTAGTTTGCTGAGAATGATGGCTTCCAGGTCCAGGAGTTGGGGGGTGGGGGGGAGTGGCATGGGGAGAAATGCCAGATATAGTTGAGGGGGAGGAAGACAGCAAATCACACTGCCACGTGTATACCTATGCAACAATCTGGCATGTTCTTCACATGTACCCCAAAACCTAAAATGCAATTTAAAAAAAAATAAATTAAAAAAAAAGTAGTTTGCAAATGTTCAGTCTGAATGTTTTTTGTTTTTTGGGTTTTGTTTTTTTGAGGCAGGGTCTGACCGTCTCCCAGACTGAAGTGCAGTGGCACTAACGTGGCTCACTGCAGCCTTGAACTCCCAGACACAACTGATCCTCCTGCCACAGCCTCCTGAGTAGCTGGGACTACAGGTGCTTGCGACCATACCGGCTAATTTTTTTTTTATTTTTTATAGAGATGAGGTCTTGCTATATTCTCAGACAGGTCTCAAATTCCTGAGCTTAAACAATCCTCCCACCTTGACCTCCTAAAGTGCTGGGATTACAGGCATGAGTCACCATACTCAGCTGAATATTTTTCCTAGTCACATGTACACAAAATTTGATAGTAAAACTTCGAAAAAATTAATCAATAAAGTATCTGCCATACAATAATGCCTGTCAAGAAAAAGGTCTATTTGTAGTCATTGGTTAGAATCTTATCTCCCAAACTGAATTGAATTAATACACAGGAAACAAAGTCAGAGTTCAAACTAAACGTTCAGAGGGTCTGAGGAGACAATGAGAGTGGCCATCCAAGATGACAATTTGTTTCATAATGGTATCCTAGGTTACATTATTTGAACATAGAAATGCTTTGTATATTAAATATAAATGACTATTTTTTCCTTCCACAAAGAAAACTATGCCTGCTCCTTTTTAAACACTTGACCCTCTACAAAAAAGAAAAATCCTTTGTTTTTCCATATTTGATAGAGATACGGATATATTAGAAATACTTTAGGCTGGGAGTGGTGGCTCATGCCTGTAATCCCAGCACTTTGGGAGTCTGAGGTGGGAGAATCACTTGAGCCCGGCGGTTTGAGCTCAGTCTGAACAATACAGTAAGACCCCATCTGTACAAAAAATAATAATAAAAAAATCAGCTGGGCATGGTGGCATATGCCTGTAGTCCCAGCTACTTAGAAGGCTGAGGCAGAAGGATCGGCTGAGTCCAAGTCAAGGCTGTATCATGCCACTGCACTCCAGCCTGGGTGACGGAGTGAGATTCTGTCTCTCAAAAAAGAAAAGAAAAAAAGAAATACCTCAATTTCCTCAATCCATTAAAAAAATGTAACAGCATAAATGCAATAATAAATAGCAAGTAACATTGAGCCCCATTAGCTAGATAATATGGAGTGGAGGGTGCTGGGCAGAGAGCCCATGTTCCATCAAAATGACAGTTGCTGTTCACTCTCCTTCAATGTTATCTGCCAGAAAAAGAACGTGAGCTACATATATACTTGTGAGTTTTATAGTAGTCACATTTAAAAGGTATTTTTTTAAAAAAGTGAAATAAGCTGGTCACGAAAAGACAAGTACTGTGTGGTTTCACTTATATGAGACATCAAGAGTAGTCAAACTCATTGAAGCAGAAAGCAGATGGGCAGGCCAGTTGCAACAGCTCATGCTTATAATCCCAGCACTTTGGGAGGCTGAGGTGGGCAGATTACTTGAGGTCAGGAGTTCATGGCTAGCCTGGCCAACATGGCAAAGCCCCATCTCTACTAAAAATACAAAAATTAGCTGGGTATGGTGGTGCATGCACCTGTAATCCCAGCTACTTGGGAGGCTGAGGCATGAGAATCTCTTGAGCCTGGGAGGCAGAGGTAGCGGTGAACCATGATCATGTCACTGTACTCTCTCTCTCAAAAATGGGAAGGTGTTTAATGAGTACAGAATTTCCATTTTGTAAGGTGAGATGAAAAGGTTTTAGAAATTAGTTACGTAACAATGTGACTATATTTAACATTACTGAATTACACATTTAAAATGGTTAAGATGGGAAGTTTTATTTGTATTTTATCACAACTAAAAAAATTCTAATTTCAAAACATTTTAAATGGTGAAATTGTAATAATCTATTTTAACAATATTATTTCAACATGTAATCAACATAAAGTATTAATGAAATATTTTACATTATTTTTTCATATTGTCTTCAAACTCCTGTGTATATTTTATCCTCCTTGCATGCCTCAATTCGTACTTACCAAATTTTATATGCTCAACAGCTACTGGCTGCCATACTGAAACAGCACAGCTCTAGCTGATAGTTGCTACATGGGAATGTGAGCCATTGTGGCCAGAAATCTGTATTTTACTAAGATATAATGCTAAATGTAAGCAACTGATTGATTTCTTTTTTAATTATGTAAAGAGTATTTTGTATGGAGGGATGACTTATAGGGAACTGTATGTGTTCCACTTGAAGAATTTTGACAAATACATACATACGTATGTATGTGTGTGTGTATATATATATACATATATATACACATATATATGTGTGTGTGTATACATACATATATATATATATATATCCATCCCTGTAACCAACACCCAAATTAAGATACAGAATTTTCTTTCATGTTTCTTTCCAGTAATCTCCTCCCTTTGTTCCACCCAGCAACCTCTGTACTTTCTATACTTGCAGATTATCTTTGCCATTATGAAACTTCATAAACTGAATCATACAATATCTGTTCTTGTGACTAGCTTCTTTTACAACCTTTTTGTCTGTGATAATCACTCAATGCATTGTACACATAGTTCATTCTTTCTTTCTTTCTTTTTTGAGATGGAGTCTAGCTCTGTCGCCAGGCTGGAACATGGTGGTGTGATCTCGGCTCACTGCAACCTCCGACTCCCTGATTCAAGCTATTCTCCTGCCTCAGCCTCCTGAGTACCTGGGATTACAGGCACACACCACCACACCCAGCTAATTTTTGTATTTCTCGTAGAGATGGGGTTTTACCATGTTGGCCAGGATGGTGTCGATCTCCTCCTGACTTCCTGATCCGCCTGCCTTGCCCTCCCAAAGTGCTGGGATTACAGGTGTGAGCCACCATGCCCGGCCCATTCTTTTTCATTGCTATGGAATAATCCACTTTTAAAAATATATTGAGCTGCAAGCAGTAGCTCACACCTGTAATCCCAGCACTTTGGGAGGTCAAGGTGGGCAGACTGCTTGAGCTCAGGAGTTCGAGACCAGCATGGGCAACATGGCGAAAACCCATCTCTACAAAAAAAAAAAACACACAAAAATTAGCCAGGTGTGGTGGTGCACACCTGTAGTCCCAGCTACTCAGGAAGCGGAGGTGGGAGGATGGTTTGAGCCTGAAAGTTGCAGGTTGCAGTGAACCAATACAGCGCCACTGCAGTCCAGTCTAGGCAACAGAGCAATACCCTGTTTCAAGAAAAATTTAAAAAAGAATATATTGAAATTTTTACTCCATTATCCTGTGATGAACATTTGGGTTGTTTCCAGTGCAAGACCATTGTGAAAAGCTGCTGTGACATTCTTATAAATGTTTTTTGATGGACACGAATTTATTTATCTTGGGTGTATACCTAAGAGCCAAATCCAGTCTGCTGCCTATTTCTGTACATCCCACAAGTACAATGTTTTAGTATTGGGAAAAAAATCAAAAGAAAAATATTTCATGATGTGAAAACTATATGAAATTCAAATGTCAGGCTAGGTGCAGTGGCTCATACCTGTAATCTCAGCACTTTGGGAGACCAAGGCAGGCGGATCATTTGAGGTCAGGAGTTTGAGACTAGCCTGACCAACATGGTGAAATCCTGTCTCTACTCAAATACAAAAATTAGCCAGGCGTAGTGATGAATGCCTGTAATCCCAGCTACTCAGGAGGCTGAGGCAGGAAAATTGCTTGAATGCAAAAGGCAGAGGTTGCAGTGAGCTGAGATTATGCCACTGCAGCACTCCAGCCTGGGTGACAAGAGTGAGGCTCTGTCTCAAAAATTAAAAATAAAAAATTTTTAATTTCAAATTTCAGTGTTCATTAATAAAGTTTTATTAGCACACAGCCATGCTCCTCTGTTTACATGTTGTTCATGGCTACTTTCATATTATAACAACAGAGTTAAGTAGTTGTGACCAAAATCATACTGCCCACAAAGTCTATCTGGCCCTTTATAGAAAAAGGTTGCTAATCCTTGTCTTACAGAATTCAATGGTTGAAGTGAAGTATGGTCCTACTAAATCAATAAAATTGCATTTAACAGAAAATATTTTACAGTGTTTGAAGTCTTTCATTTAAATAATTTAATTAAACATTCAGTTTCTCGGTCACACTAGCCACACTGCCACACTTCAAGTGCTCAATAGCCACATGTGGCAAGTGGCTACCATATTAAATAACATAGCTTTTCTACAATGTTTGACAAGGGATTCCCTGATTTTGTGCTTACAACAACTCTATAACGCAGGTGCTGTTGTTATATCTTTTCCTCCAGTGAGTCACTTGAAACAGAGAAATTAAGAAACTTGCCTGAGGCCACACAAATAAAAGGTAATGGAGGAAAGATTCAAAATGAGGCAGCCTATTGCTGGGACCTACATTCCCAGTCACAAGGCTATATTGCCATCCTGAGTATTAAAATTCTTTCAAGTACAGATTTGAACATTTAGCATGAAACTGTGCCATTTCAGAAAATGACCTACAGAAAACCTGCTCAAATATCTGCATTTTGCAGGTGAGGAAATAAGCCCAAGAAAGGGAGAACAAGACTTGTCTCAGTCATGCAGCAATACAGTGGCAGAGCTATGACCTTAACAAAAATTCCTGACTTCTGACTCCTGGCTCCCTTCTCTCCCACTACTTTTTGTTAACCTATTCACTTATATCAGCTACTTATAGGTTAACAAAGAATTATGACAATAATGTTCTACAATTCCAAAGTGAAACCATCCCTACACATTGTCCTGAAATTACTTTGGGGAAAAACAGCAAACAACAACAACAACAAACATCGGGCCAATGTTATCAACCCAGGCCTGGGTAATCAAAGCCATCTAGTCTCCTATTATCTTCCTGTCTACCCACTGATCTGAAATGCGTCTTGCCAATTAGGAAATGGGTAGGTAATAGGTGGATGGTGGGGTGGAGGTTACAACGGGAAGGGTGATCTTATAAATTTCTGACAGAGGAGGATGGTTAATAAGTTAAATTTCCTAATCCCAGGAGTGAGTTAAGAGGTCCACAATCCACTGGGCTCTGCTGCTAGCAAGCAGTATCCCCTTTATTTTACCTCTTTGGTCTTCAATTTCACCACTATGCCTCTTCCAACATATCCTCTATATCCATCCCATACACTGCATTTCTCTGAAGAAGGGCTCTTCACTGGGCTCCACGAACAGGCCATAAGGGTCCAGAAACCCCTGACATTGAAGGGAACATTCTTTACATAATGTCAAGTGTATTTTCTTGCTAAGATACAGAGCTTTTACTGGATTGTCAAAGAATCCTACAACAAATATTTTTGCAAATAAATAAGGTGGGAATCCACAGCTGAGAAGGTTGGGGAGAACCTTTGGGGAGGAACAACAATAGAGCTAACGATAGGGGTATGGTCTAGAGGGACAGAACCCCTAGAAAACACAAGTGCCCAGCCGTATAGGTGAACCCGCATAGGTGAACTTTGTCCAAAGCAGCTCTGTGTCCCTGTAGCAGAGCTGAGAGAGGGGGTAAAGGAAATTGCCAAAGGAATCACTGAGGAAAAAAAAGAAAGGGGGATTAGGTTGAATGTTCATCAGAAAGGATAAGTTGACCTTAGCTTAGCTTAATGGGACATCCCAGCATAGTATTTAATGTTCAAAATACAGACTCTGTATGGACACACACACACACACACACACACACACACACACACACACACACAGCCAGCTATAACCTTACCTCCTAGGCTTCTTTCTTCACCCTTGGGTTTCCTATCCTGTCTTTTCTATGAATTAACAAACTGGTTGTCACACTCAAAAGATTTCTCTCCTAGCCCTAAGATATAGGGAGGGTTTGTCAAATAGGCAAAGCACAGGGACCCCCACCCTCAATTCAACCAGAGAATATCTGCTTTCATCTTTCCTTGAATAAAATAATTCTTGTTTGAAAACAAAGCCACAGAAATAGGACTCAATGCTGCAGAATCCTTCTACCTTTCTTATATGATATTAAAACAAAAACAAAAACAAAAAAAACTAGAGCACAGGAAGCAAGCTGTCGGGATTAGAGTTCCTATATCTTTATCCTTACTTTACAGAAGGCTTTCTCAGTCTCAACATTACTGACATTTTAGACTATATAAGTTTGTTGTTGTTGGAAGAGGGGTCTTGTCCTCTGCAGTGTATGATGTTGAGCAACATTCCTGACCTCTATAGGTTAGATGCCAGGCAGTCCCCCTCCACAGCTGGGACAACCAAAAATGTCTCCTCACATTGCCAAAAATCATCTGAGTTAAGAACAATTGTTTTACAGATAAGGGTGGAGTCAAAGGGAACTCAATGATTTGCCTCAGTATCTTCTTGGCAGTAGAATCGTTACCACAACAGTGGTTCACAAATTTTGGGATTTTACAAAATAGGAAAAATTTCTCCCCCAACAACAACAGCAACAAAAATGAAGAAAGCCAACATAAAGCTGCCAACATTTTATCTCATCAAGAATCTTACCCCAAACTACCCATTATCAATTTCATAAACAACACTTAGCAAGAGGAACCCAAAAAAACCCTAAACTTAGATTTCACTACATTTAGTTTCATAAATAACTCATTTTTTGTCCCAATTCTCTCTCCTTCCACTGAAAACTGTGCCAGACTGCAACCAGACCATAAACCAGTTTGGGGAACACAGCCCCAGAGCCTGCATGAATCATGCCATTGCACTATCAGAGTTCACAGGCTCCCAAAGGGACTACTGAAAAGAAACCATGGGGTCTGTCACATTGATTAAAAAAAAAATACACCCTTATTTTCCCTACTGTAACTGAAATTTAGCATTTCTTCCCATTATGAATATAGGCAATAAGCCATTATAGTTTCACTAGCAATACCTATAACTTTGTTACCTATCAGATCAGGTATTTTTATATCACATTACAGTTGTAGACATCTTTAAGTATTATTTATGCATATTACTACTTTGAAAAAGTAGTGGTTATTTCAATCACTGTTAGATGTTTTACTTAATGCATTAATAAACAAGCATGTATGTTTTGGGGTTTGGGGGTGGTTGCTCACTGCAACCTCCACCTTCTGGGTTCAAGCTAGTCTCCTGCCTGAGCCTCCTGAGTAGCAGGGAATACAAGCATGTGCCACTAGGCCCAGCTAATTTTTGTATTTTTAATAGAGGCTAGGTTTTACCATGTTGGCCAGGACGGTCTTGAACTCCTGGCCTCAAGTGATCTACCTGCCTCGGCCTCCCAAAGTGCTGGGATTATAGTTATGAGCCACCGCGCCAGGCCTAGAAGCATGTATGTTGTTTTATAACAATTTCTTTTAACTATTTTAGTGATTATTTTCGTATAATTGGTTTCCATTATAATCCTGTGTCTTTGTTGCATTTAAAACATCATTCTGAGAAGGGGTCCACACGCTTCAGACTGCCAAGGGGGCTCCTGGCACAAAAATGATGAGAAATCCTACTCTAGGTCCCTCCTAACCTTCCCTTAGTCCTCACATGTGCTCAAGTTCAGGCCCTGGAAAGAAAAGTAAGAGCAGGTCCCAGGGCAAATGTTCACCACATGATTTCCTCATCAGAAATTCTCTACCAGTCCTCAATTTTCACCTTCTTTTTTTCTGCCTTCCAAGTAAGCTGTTTCGCCATCTGTTTAACCCCAGCTCAGACTAGGGTGGAGCTAGAGAGATACCTAGTGCCGTGCAGCACCCTAGTTCAGTTGCATCTACTATAACTATATATATATTTGTGTGTATATATATATATATAGTTACATATATATATTTGTGTATATATATAGTTATAGATATGTTTTTGTATATATATAGTTATATATATGTTTTTGTATATATATATTATACACACACACACACACACACACACACACACACACAGAGTTTAAGCAAAGGTCTTGAAAATGCTTGATGCAGCTTTCATTCTCAAATCTGTCTCCATATAAGAATCACCTGGAAAGCTGTTAAAAATCCTGATGCTCAGACTGGATCTCAGACAAATGAAATGAGAATTTCTGGAGATGGACCCAGGCATCTGTATTTTTTACTTTATATTTAAAGCTCTCCAGATGATTCTCAAGTACAGACAAGGTTGAGAATCAGTGCCTGAGAAAGATGATATGCAGACTGAGATGACTTCTGTAAAAACTCCTCTGGAGTTCCAGGAGAATCCAAATTCCAATCGTTATAGACTAAAGAGTGACAGATGATTAAGACACCCTCCCTATGCATAAACATGCATCTCTTCACTTATTCATTCAACCAATACACACTGAGTGCCTATAATGCCTCACAATGCAAGGGGTGCCAGATCCTCTTCCCTCCCCCTTACGCAAGCTGGAAAAGTGAAGAAGACAGACAAAAAACTAGTGAAATCTGTAAGGAATATTTACAAACTCTGCTAAGTGCTATCAGGAAATAGATGCTGGGAAAGAACAAAGTGGGGAGGAGACTGCCCTGCAGAAGCATTAACCAGCAGGCCCACCAAAGGATCACCTCACTTCCTAGGGATATGGACTTCTGCTCTGACTTACTGTTTACTCTTGGTTGGGCATTTGATAATCCTGAAAGGGTAGATATTAACTTGGAAAAAACTGTTAGCTAACAAGTAATTCTTGTCTGATGGCAATGCAAATACATTCGTCTTAGAAAAAAATACAATAGCCAGGTTGCACTTGTATTACCCTGTAGGGTGTTACAGGTTTATACCTAATTTAGCAATTCTAATCCAGTATCATTTCTATGACTATAAATAAGTCTGACTCTCTATACTCTCTTGAACCAGTTTTACCATATGCTAGTTCCTTCATGAATTAATGAATCTGACAGAACTACTTTAGGCAGGATAGTAGGGACAGGCTCTCAATCCTGAAGGTTAGGAAGGAGCCAGCCAGGGGAAGCAGAAAGGAAGAACAGATCCCCAGGAACCCAAGACCGCAAGATAAAATGGGCATATGGCTTACAGCAGGAAAGAGGTCACCCAGAAATGGCTAGAAGGCCACTGAGACTGGGGAACAGGTAGCGAGCAAGGGGTTGAGGTTTGAGATCAGGATGGAAAAGTGGCAAGAACTAGATTGTGTACGGCATTACAGAACAGTGTAGGAACTTTGAATGTTGTACAAAGTACAACAAGCAAACTACTGGAGGGTTTAAAGGAGGAAGATGGAATAATCTGCTGTGTATTTTGAAAAGATCATACTTTCAAAAGTAGGAAAAGAGGCTGAGTATGGCGGCTCATGACTATAATCCCAGCACTTTGGGAGGCTGATGCAGGAGAGTGAGTCCAGCAGCTCAAGGCCAGCCTGGGAAACATCACAAAACACCCCCATCTCTACAAAAAGGCATATATATTAGCCAGGCATGGTGGTGTATCCCTGTAGTCTCAGCTACTCAGGAGGCTGAGGCAGGAGGATCATTTGAGCCTAGGAAGCAGAGGCTGTAATGAGCCATGATTGCACACTGCACTCCAGCCGAGGCGACAGAGTGATGCCCTGTCTCAAAAACAAAAAAAAAAAACAAAACAAAAAAACAATTGGGAGGCTGAGACGGGCCGATCACTTGATCTCAGGAGTTCGAGACCAGCCTGGACAACATGGCAAAACCCCATCTCTACAAAAAATACAAAAATTAGTAGGATTAGTAGGGAGTGGTGGCGCATGCCTGCAGTCCCAGCTACTTAGGGGGCTGAGGCTAGAGGATCCCTTGCACTGAGGAGGTCAAGGCTGCAATGAGCTGTGATCGTGCCACACTCCAGCCTGGATGACAGAGCGAGTCTCTCTCAAATAAATAAAAAAAAAAAAAAAAGGTGGGAAAAGAGATCACAATAGAGACAAGAGGAGGGGCTAGGGAGCCAATCCATTGTGGTATCCAGGTAAGTAGTTGAAGGTTGCCTGGTTTAGTAGGGACAAAGAGATAGAGGCAACAAGCAGTGAGATTGGAGCCACGCTGCTAGGATTTTTGACGGATTCTATTAAGAGGTGAGGGTAAAGAAGGAATCCAGGATGACCACTGGGTTTCTGGTTTGTGCGACTGTGGATGGTGGTGGCAGTCACCAAAATGGAAAGGACTGGCGGTTAGAGGGTCACGCATATACACACAGGTGCATGTCATTCATGACATAAGGGTATCCATCCACAACTCCCTGGGTATGACGCCCTGGGTGTGACGAGGCTAGCACACCCTTTCAGATTAGGTTCTCACAGAGTGATCTCTTTGGCCTTCAAGATTTGTGTCATCAGGCATTAAGCTAATAGATTTCAAGCAACAAGCTGGAAAATTCTAAGTGGCAGCTGAAAGTTTGGCCCAATCTTGCCCTAATTCTTATTCAACATATGTTAACTGCAAATAATTTATATTTAATCAATCTTTAAATGAAGGAAGATAATTCAGCATTAACTCCGGGTATATATAAATCTTCAGAGGTAAAAGGCAGCAATGGGTTTATAAAATAAAACTGAGAAAGCCTTATATTTGTGATAAACTGTTAATCCTTTACCCAAGTGATAACTTCAACAATCCTGCTCCCTGCCCTCAGGAAATTTCGCTGCCAATCTGGGCATAAATCAGGTAAAAGACTTAAGTCTAACTTAAACAACAAAAGTTTATTCTGTATACAATAAAACAGCTCTAACTTTCCCAGAACAAAAATTGGAAGATACTATAGTAAAGTGTAATGATCATTTACAATGGAATAAAAACTATCAGTGCCTACCACAAATCCAAATTCAATGTGGTGCAACTTTCAACTAATTAAAGAAAATGACCGCTATGTCTTGCAGCAATGAACACTAAGCCTGCCTGTCAAATGACACTCCATCAAGAAACCTATTCCAGGCCGGGCGCGGTGGCTCAAGCCTGTAATCCCAGCACTTTGGGAGGCCGAGGCGGGTGGATCACGAGGTCAAGAGATCGAGACCATCCTGGTCAACATGGTGAAACCCTGTCTCTACTAAAACTACAAAAAATTAGCTGGGTATGGTGGCGCGTGCCTGTAGTCCCAGCTACTCAGGAGGCTGAGGCGGGAGAATTGCCTGAACCCAGGAGGCGGAGGTTGCGGTGAGCCGAGATCGTGCCATTGCACTCCAGCCTGGGTAACAAGAGCGAAACTCCGTCTCAAAAAAAAAAAAAAAAAAAGAAAGAAACCTATTCCAAAGAACCAAATTCTGTCATACCAAGGGATGCCTTTCGAGTCCGATATTTTTCCCAATCAGAAAATACTACATGATAACAGATTACCAAAAGCATCTTACTAAATAGAAAAAATTGAAACAAGGCTATTTTGCATAGAAATTAAGAGCATGGGGACTGGAAGTAGATCCTGGCTCCAAATTCTACTAACCTTATGTTCTTAGGTAAGTTACTCAACCTCCCTAATGTTCAAATTTCCAATTTATAAGATACGAACAACAGCAGCACCATAGTAGAGACTTGCAGTGTGAAGCGACAGTAGAGACTTGCAGTTGTCTTCTCCTTGCAGGCACAGGAGAGAACTGTGTTCTCCCATCTGCTCTGTGTTGAAGCAGATTAATGTGACACGTTCTGGCCAACACAGTGTGGGCAGCAATAACTTCAGTCATGTCTAGGCCAAAGCATTTAACTACTAGGGTGAGATGGGAACAGGTGTTGTGTTGGAGGTACCACAAGATAAAGCAGCCAGGATCACATAGTCACCACATAGAGAGCAGCTGCCCTGGGTCACACTGACCCACTGCAAAGTGGGAAATTTACCTCCATCTTGTTGAGGCACTGACATTGTGAACAGCATTTGTTATCGCAGCTTACCCTAAGCAATGCAAACCGGCACAAATACCTAATTTAGTAGGGTGTCATGAGGATTAAATGAAGCAGTGTCTGGCACACACTAGCCCCCTGATAAAGATTAGCATGATGACTGCCACCTCCTGATTGGTTAATGTGAAGGGCTTGGTCTTCCACAGCCAGCCATGTATGGCAATCTTTTCAGCCATTTGGATTGTCCTACGTGGTTTCCATGAGCTGGCCATAAATCCTGAATCCACTTGTATGTCAATCAGACTTCACAGGACAGGTGTGAATAGTTAAGAGGTTTTTAATCTCAGAATGAGAAAAAGGGAAAAAAAAGTTCCTGCGTACCTGTATGGACATATGAAAGTAATCTGTATCACAATGAATTATCAGAGAACCTTGGCACATCCCTTGAATAACCATCTTTTTCACAGATTTTTAAAGCCAATCCTCAGGCAGTAGAAATATCGCTAATAGTTGGGGGCTTTGCTTTTTGTTTAAATTGTAGAAAGTGCTCAAGCATATAGTGGGTTGAAGGCAGAGATAGCAAGATAAGAAAATATTAAATCAGAACTTTAAGAAGACAAATTCATTCTGCCAAAATTTTGGTACCCCCCAAGAACTTACTAGCATCAGAATAGTGCTTTGGGAACTGAGAATTAAAGGCTGAGCACTGGCAGGGATGGGAAAGAGAGAAAAGGCATAATTCCACTCAAACTCCCTTGTTATTCTTCCCCTAATCCCTAACAGAGCCTTCAATAACATTATAGATACCTCAAGTGGAAAATTAAACTCAATGTGATTATTTCCCACAGGCTCTAGAATTCCTGGCCCAATCTCATCCTGCTAAAGAATAAAATCTATTTTAACTGTAAATCAGTTAAAATGAACTAATCTCAGCTTACTGTCTGAAGTTTTCTCCCATTTAAAAAAGAAAGAAACTAAGCTACCTACCCGCTAAGTTTTCTTATTTTATTTTGCAGAAGAGTTGGAAGAAGCAAGGAGAAATTCCACAAAGGTTTAAACCCACTAAAAATGGTTCTTATAAATGGGCAACTCTCCATGGACAATAAAACATACAAATGTGAGATACTTACCACATTTAATACTCTCTATCCGCACTGGGAGGCCAGATTGTGCTGCAGCAATTAATTTCAGGGCAACGTAAAATTGTGTTGGACCAAAATAACCAACCCGCTTTGCACCACACAGTTCTGTGATCTGAGAACAGACAAGAAAAACAATGCTGAACACCCAATTTCACCACAGGAAAATGAGATAAGATACATGATGAAATCTCAAAGGTTTCACCTAGTGGCTAATAAAAAAAGTCCCTTGATAACCCATGTGTTCCCAGTGGGCAATTTCCTCTTCCTTCGGTTTAAAGGGAGGCTTTTGATTCAGATTACTAAATTCTACCTATGCATGATGTTTCAGAAGTGAGTCACTGATTATTCCTCCTCTTCCAAAGAGAAAAACAAAGGTGACCAAGGCTAGCTGTTGCTCTGGTTACAAATGAGAGTGACTTTTTCAGGGAGTGGATGCTAATGTTCAAAGTCTAGAAAGTCACTAGGGTGAAAAGAGAACAGATTAGTCATTACCACTATTCATGGATTATTCTAGTTTATCTAAATTAAAAGTGAATTAATTATTTTTATAAAGTCCTCAGGCAAAACAATATCCTAATCTTTGAAATTACATCTTGGGTGCTCAGTTAGGAGGAACAAAAAAGTTCTATACACACATTTTTCAAGACACTGCAATAATTGTCAGTTTCCATCCCATCACCTGGAACAATAACATCCTCCTCCCCACCTAGATTGAATTCAAATGTTACTTTTCTATAGCTCCTTTCCACCTCCCTGATACAGCTTATTTTCCCAATATATTCTCAGAGTACTCTATCCAAGTATCTATTAATGTCCATCACATGATACACTGTCTTAGACTTGCTTCAAAATAAAAGGAGGAAGGGGAAGAGGTGTGGCACATGGGTGAAAGAAGCATAACCAAGAGTTAGTAATTGTTGAAGTTTGGTGATGGGTGCGTGCTTTTGAAAATCTCCATATTCCAATTTTTTGTGACTATTTCCAAATTTATCACATTATAATTATCTGCTTATCTCTGCTTCCCATTAAAATGTCTTCTCTTCAAGGGCAGGAGGCAACTTCCATTCATCTCCTAGCATAAGGATAGGCACCCAAGATACAGTCAATAAATGCTCAATCAAGTGAATGAAACATACCCTCAAAAATAAAATATCTCTGAGTTTTATAACATAGCCCTTATTGTGAATATATACATTACACATCTTACACATCTTAAGATATCCCACACATGGAAAAAATCACATCAACATTAGTATAGTTCCAACATCAAGATAGTTGTCTTGCAGAATAGCTCCTAATATTAAGAAATTGTAGGCCAGGCACAATGGCTCACGTCTATAATCTCAGCACTTTGGGAGGACTCAAGGAAGATCGCTTGAGGCTAGGAGTTCAAGACTAGCCTGGGCAACATAGAAAGACCCCATCTCTATTTTTAAAAAAGAAAAAAAATAGTAATCCTTGGTATATGAAAAAAAATAACAACTGTATTTTCAGTGATTGATAACTTTCTATCAAGTTAACTTTCAGTTGCTCCATTACCGTAACTACCACATCAAACTGGAAAGCTCTTAACTACACATAACTGAAATTGCTGGTAAAACATTTATGGTACTTGAAGACTAATACCTTAATTTGACATTAGCAAACGACCTTATTTACTTTGAAAACTGTCCCTTGGTCCCATATCACCACTAGAATCATTGCTTTGGAGCCAAAGTAGAATATATACACATAAGTGAGCAAAGCCCATAGGTTACTTTTCTTGCTCTTTGTACACCAAATCTCCAAGAGACATACCAACAACATTCTGAAATATTCAAGCCTCAAGGAAGAGAAAAGAATTATAAGCCTTTGGAACTTACACATAGAGCCTCATAAGCCTAGGATTTCTGAATTAAAAACAACAACAACAACAACAACAAAAACCACAACAGGTTAGTTCTGAAAGGTGTTTTTCATTCGTCAAGGTTCAAAGTTTTCTAAGTTTAAAGTCTTCATGGAAAAGCTCTAAGTTGTGGGTAGAAATGTCTAATGGTATCTAAAGAAAATAAGGTGGAAATAAAAAACAAAGTTTATCCCAGATACTCAATTAGTGGAGATATTTTATATCATTGTTCCTTCAAACAGTACAAATCACTGAGCTTTCTTCAAAATAAAGGGAAAAAAATGAAAAGATTCTACTCCTTTTCTTTAGTCTAAATTCCAAACCTGTAACACTTCCAGCTGAATCCATCTTAGGTTACACATTGTGCAAATTCCTAATACAGAATAAGAACGTATGGACTTGTGTTTTCTCAGGTGGAAGGCAAGAGATGAAAAAAAAAGGAATAGATGAAATCAATTTCCTTACAGCTTACAGATGTACACTAAATGTCTGGGATGCTGGATACAAATCAGAAAAATTCACCGACCATTTGGGAGAAATCGGAACAAAGTTCTAGAAGGAGGTTGAAGGCCACTAAAATAGCTTCCCTCCTACCTAATTCTGCAAGATTAGGTTACTGTGCTGAGTAACCAGTCCACACATGCTCCAGTTTGCCTGAAATAATACTTTGTTTCCTGGCTGAAATCTAATAAATTTTCAGAACTGTTCAAAAGTTTAAATAAGCTTTTCTCTTTCAAGTATTATTAAAGGTTTCCTTAGAAATATTTAAAAATATAAAAACTCTTAGTGGGAGGGCCTGGAAGAATTCTCCAAGAGCACCCCTATTTTCTATTCTCCCTCTGCTCCAGCTAGCAAAATCCAGATTCTTCGCTCTTGCCTCGACTGTTTCAGGTCCCGTCCCCAGGCACACACACCTTCACACACCAGCTTCCATATTCTATGCAATAATTCACACATTAGAAATAAGATTTTGCTTTTTTAAAGAGAAAGGGTGTTATAATTCTTTAGAAACATTCTTTGAAAACATCTTTATGCATCTGTGAACACATAATGTTCCAAGATGTAAGCTACTCCTACCTTGCAAATCAATTTTGGAAGCTATGTTATCTTTTAAATCCCCCAAGATGCCATTTAATTTAGGTCTAGTAAGCCTACAATAAACTATAAGCCAAATCCAGTCCAGATGCTAAATACAAGCTATATTGGCATAGGTTATGGCCCAGATCTGATTTGTCAGCATTCTTGGGCCAAGGCCCAAAACTCACCCCAGTGGCAGGGAAGACTCAGCCTGCCACTCTGGCTCAGATGTAATCTAAAAAAGGAGAAGACTCTGGGCAAAAAAAAAAAAAAAAAAAAAATCTGGAACATCACTAGTGGAAGCAAGCATCAGTACAGCATCCAGAAACCATTTGGCAATATCCATAAGAATTACAATTTACTTTTTGACCAAGCAATTCTATGGCTAGAAATTCATATTCCATTTTACATTAGCAAAATGACATATGCATGTGGTCATTAATACAGTATTGCCTAAGTCACAGACTAGAAAACTAGAAAACACTTAGAGGTCCACCAGCTAAGATATTAGTTTAATTAATTGTGGTTGATCCACACAATGGAATTCTAAGCAGCTCTGGTGGACATTTGCCATATCTGTGACTCCATCATCTTTTGAAGTCTTTCTCTATTTGCAGAAATTTTACCTATTACAAGTCCCACCTCCCAGTTTAAAAGTTGAGAATAAAATTCCCAGACTCAACTGAAGCTAAGATGCAAATGTGTCACCTAGTCTCCACTAATCAGACACATCCACACCAGACTTTGCTTTAGAAGTGAGAAATGTAAGGCAAGAGGCTCTTCTCAGAGCTTCTACTTTTGCAGGTGTCACTGCTAGGCTGCCTTCCTTGTGCAGGAGTGGAGGTAGAAGCAGTTGCACTTAAGTCAAATACCTAGCATCTGCTGTTCAGTGGAGGCAGCAGCATGGATGGCTTCCACTTATTACTAATACTATGTGTGTCTTGGGGCTTTGTTTCTGTGCACTCAGATGCCAGCCTATTCCTCTAGCCCTCCAAAGGGTTCCATGAGTTACCTAAAATCCTAATCCCTTTTTGACTTAACCATCTAGGCTGGATTCAGTTGTTTGCCATAAAAACCACCAATTAACAAAGAAAAAGGAAGCTCTTTTCATGCCGATATAGAAAAATCATCATGCCAAAGTATTAAAAAAAAAAAAAAAAAGCAAGGTGCACAGAAAGCAGTTGTACAGTAGGTATCATTTCTTCTGAAAGAGTGTTGAATATAGATGCATTTATTTATATTTTCATAAGCCATCTCCAGAAGTTGAAACAAACAAAATTGACTTTTGGATGCCTTCAGGGAAGAACACAAGGTGACTACGTCACAGTGGGGAGAAAGAGTTTTTTTGTTTTTTTTGTCTTTTGTTTTTGTCTTTGTTTGTTTTTATTTGTTTGTTGGGAGAAAGAGTGTACTGCATATTATTTTGTACCTCTTCAATTCTGAATCATGTGGATATATCATTCATTTTATTTTTTTAGATAGGGTCTCATTCTGTCATCCAGGCTAGAGAGCAGTGGTGCAATCACAGCTCATTGCAGCCTCAACCCCCCCGGCTCAAGTAATCCTCCAACCTCAGCCCTCTGAAAATAGCTGGGAATACAGGCATATACCATCATATATGACTACTTTTTTTATGTTTTGTAGAGATGGGGGGGTCTCCCTATGTTTCCCAGGCTGGTCTTGAACTCCTGGACTCAAGCAATCCGCCTACCTTGGCCTCCCAAAGTGCTGGGATTATAGAAATGAGCCACCACACCCGGACATTATTATCTATTAAAAATAAGATCAGAAAAGTTGTAAAGAATACAACCTAACCCCAAGTCAGCAAGAAATATTAAAAACATACCGCAGAACCATTCCCCTTCTATCTGCTATAATTTCTAAACAAAGTACCCAAGTGGAATTCAGTCCCATTTGGGTCACCAGGATTTTGTTACCCACACAATGGGTGGGTTCAATCACTTGGCAGGTTATAGTCCAATGACCCCAACCAAGGAGGATATAGCAAGGGGGTTTTATTACTCGCAACAAGTAAGGAAGTCACTGGAGATAGTTCCCCAAAGCAGTGCCTCCCCAAACAAAGATGAAAACAAGGCTTTTATTGGACTGGTTAGCTGAGTCATTGTACAGAGGTGGAGTAAAGGAGTGCAGGCACCAATCATGCTTCTACCTACATGTATAGAAAATGACAAATAAGCTCCTCCCTGGATGGGGTTTTAGTATGGTAATGAGGAGAGTTTGCCAAAATTCATCTGCAACTCAGGCATCTCTGGATCCAATGGGGCTTTTGCTTTTCCAAGACTGAGCTTCTACATGGAACTTTTTTTTTTCCCATTTATTTATTTTATTGCATTTTAGGTTTTGGGGTACATGTGAAGAACATGCAAAATTGTTACATAGGAACACACGTGGCAGTGTGATTTGCTGCCTTCCTCCCCATCACCTACATCTGGCATCACTCCCCTTGCTACATGGAACTTTTTGAAACAAGAACTGAAGGTGCAACAGTTATGCACAGTGCAACCTTGAATTCCTGGGCTTAAACCATCCTTCTGCCTCAGCCTCCTGAGTAGCTGGAACAAGAGGCATGTGCCACTGCACCCAGATAATTTTTTTTTAAATTGTAAAGACAAGGTAGGTCCTTTTTCACAGTACATACCCCAAAAACTGCGGAACCCTGGGTTACAGCTGAACAAAGCTTCAAGAGTCTCCACTCACCAAACTCATATTTAACTCACAAAGGCAGTACTCTTTCTTCTAAGCAACAGAACAAAGCAGTAGTTTGCTTTATTAAAACTAGCTATCTTTGTCAAAGGTGGCACTGTCTAACTGGGCGACTGTTGGAGAAGACACCTGACCTCCCTTGGTCTCATGTACTGGCACTAGCAGTCAGACTGAAACTAGCCCAATAGTCCCATAGACAGTTGTTTTAGATAAACATAGAAACTGACCCTTCTGGTCTTAAAGCTTGAAACTTGTTTGTTTTATCTGAGTTCCTTCCTCAGGAAAGGACCTTCAGGCCTCTCAAAAAAAGTATCAAAGAACTGAAACTCACCAGATCACTGCACCAGAGGACTCTTTGCCCCTCTCTAGGTCATGTTTTCTTACACACTGTTACATTTCTTCCCTGCTATATAAATCCCTAGTTTTAATCAGTCAGAGAGATGGATTTGAGACTGAACTCCCATCTCCTCAGCTGCAGCACCAGATTAAAGCCTTCTTTCTTGACAATACTTCTTGTCTCAGTGATCGGCTGTGTGGCAAGCAACAGGACCTAGACCTGGTATTTCAGTAACAAGACTAGATAGAGTATAGGGCTTTTTTGAGATGCACAAATTCTATAAAAAGGAATTCTATGGGCGAAACCTAAAATTATGGTTTCAACCTCTCCTTCTGATACATACTACTACTTTTTACTATGATTCTCGATACACCTGCTACATTCCCCTACAAGACTATAAGTTTCTTGAGGGCAAGTCCTGCATTTTAAAAATCATCTTTGCATTCCCCACAGCACCCATCTGATTGATTTCCAACTAAGAAGGCTCATGAAATAAAATACATATGTATCCTGGATTTTAACTCTTCATGGCATGATGAAAACCCCTACATAGTGTGTTCAGTATCTTTGAATATTGAATTATGTCAGTCTTATCAACCTATTCAAACAAATTAATTGTTTAAAGTCTTAAGGGATCAGAGATGCCACCTGATCATAGGATATCAAGAAATAGAACCTCAGGTAAGTCATTTTGTAATCACCTTATTCCATGAAGGAAAGCCAAAGAGAAATACAACACAGCCTACCAGAAATTTACTCAGCCTTTGCTTGGGAGGATAATTTTAAAATCCAGAGATATGTTTAAAAAACAAATAAGAATCAGCATGCCATTTTTCAAATAGAGATGGAGTTTCACTATGTTGCCCAGGCTAGCTTCAAACTCCTGAGCTTCAGTGTTCTTCCCACCTTGGCCTCCCAAAGTGGAGGATTACAGTCATGAACCACTAATTTCAGCTGAGCATGGTTCTTAAAGATGAGAATTCAAAGAAATTCTAACTCAGGCGAGCTGCTTTGGTTACCCCTGACTCCCATGGTGTATTCTCTCCTCTGCTATTAGAGAACTGGCAGAAAGATCTGGGATAATCCGTATAAAATTCATTAGAAGTAGGAACTGAGGTTCTTGCATAATTGATGGGCATACATAGGCTTGACAGAGTGATTCTACGGATGTTTTTATTATGCACCTAGATTGTTTTTCGGAAACAGAAAGGATAATAGGTGCCAATAGCAGTTGATGACAATGATCTCTTATGATTTTTGTAAACTAGGCATTCTTTGGCAAGTCAATACCATGGCTTTACAAGCTGCCCAGCTGGCTGCACACATGCAGGCATGCATCGCCACAGAGTCAGGAGTTCCTTGGGGTTGGCACCTGCCTGGGGTAAAACCAGGATCTAATAACTCAAGGGTGAGAAGAGGGGAAGAAGGCAAGGGAGTGAACCACTAAGGCACAAATGAAGCAGCTACCCCACTAGTTTAGAAGAAAAGAACAGTAGACTCAACAATAAGAACTAACATTTACTGAGGGTAGACTATGTGTCAGGCACTAACTTAAATGTCAGAAATTAATGACATAAAGTAAACACACACATATACAAAAGCAGTCTTCACAGTAGAACTGAGTTAAAATACAAATATGGCTCAGATTACAAAAGAAAATTAGTTTTAGCATTCTGGCCCAGGTTTTGAGGCTCTGCATATCACAGAATTTTTGTACAGCTGGAGGCAGAGAAATCTCAGGTGAACACAAATGTACTGCCAGAATTATATAAAGCTTTAACTGGTTCTGGCAACTCAGACTTATCTCACCAGCCAAAGGATTAGTTTTTCAGACAATTCATTTATTGACATTTTTAGTGCTCTTCAAAAATAAAATTACAGATTTAGGTTATTTGGTATTTTTATAAGTTTGTTGGTTTCTGTCCATTCTATATTTTATATGGAATACTTAATATTTTATGCACACATGCACACACACATATTCACATTTATTTTTTAGAGAAACAAGTGCCTAAGTGAAAGGAGTAGAGCAAGCAAGGGCATTTCAAGTAAATAGAACACCAGTATATTACACATAGATCCTCCACATGCTTCCTGGGGGAATGAATGAATGGAAGTTCAGTCTCAGATCACACTGAAGTTCTTTCTCTCAAGCCAAAATCTAGATCAATTGAGATCCTCTAGCATAGAGCTAAACTCATACCAGGAATACCCATTGTTGGTGGGATAGGCAATCTGACTTCATTAATTTGCTTTCTTCATGGAGTTCCCAGTGAAGACCCAATCCAATTGTTAAAATGATAAGTGTACCCCTCTGACATTCTGGCAGTTCCCTCTGAGGAAGCTGGCCCTATTCAAAGCTGGCTGCTCCAAGGCACACTAAAGCTGGGGAAGGGCCCTGTTTATGACTGTTCTCCCCACAACAAGATCTCATGACAACCAGCACCCTCAGGTCCCGTGCATCACCACAGCAAATCTAAATGGCTTTAAGGGGCTCTGCCCCAACTAACCAGAACCAAGCCCCAAACCTGTCTTGCTATTGGCCCCTCCTTTGACCTAACAGCCACATTATATTGACCAGACTGACCTCTTTCCATGACTGAATCCCCTTTCTGTGTCCAAGGTATACCCATCCATCCGCTTCCCTCTCCAGATACTCATCACTTTAAGGCTTTGTCTTGCTCTCATCTGTCTTTGTCCTGCACCTCATCCCCAGCTACCTGCTGGCACTTTCCTGATACCAAATCTATAAACCTTTCCTACTCTTACATCTCTTGCCACCGAGCAATGCTTGCCAGATGAACATCCGTAGGAGTCAGGCAAATCTCCTCCTACTACCTGGAATCACCTGTAGACACTATTTCATCTTCTTAAACTTTCCACGGACTGATTTGATACAATCTACCTATCCCCCTAAATTGATAGTACCACCACAATGCATGAGCTTAGATATAGGTTTTTATTGCTCCCAAGATGTTTTATCCCACATACAATTCACTGTCCACAATTATGAGCAGGGTGGAAGGGCCCGTCTTCAGCTTTAGTGCCCTGGAGCCACCAGCTTTGAACCAGGCCAGCCTCCTCAGAGCGAGGCTGCCAGAATGTCAGGGAGGCAAGAGGTGCATTTATTATTTTAATAATTGGATTGGGCTAGGTGCAGTGGCTCATGCCTGTAATCCCAGCACTTTGGGAGGCCGAGGCAGGCAGATCACCTGAGACCAGCCTGACCAACATGGATAAAGCCCATCTCTACTAAAAATACCAAATTAGCCAGGCATGGTGGCCCATGCCTGTAATCCCAGCTACTTGGGAGGCTGAGGCAGGGGAATCGCTTGAACCCGGGAGGCGGAGGTTATGGTGAGCCGAGATTGCACCACTGCACTCCAGCCTGGGCAACAAGAGCAAAACTATCTCAAAAAAAAAAAAAAAAAAAATTGGATTGGGTCTTCACTTAACAACTGAGAGAGATTCGATACAAAAAGAGCAAGCCCTGTCCTCAAAGAGTTTCTAATCTCATTGGGGTGTATGCATCTAAGAAGTTTGAGGGAAATGTTCAACATTTATTGAACATCTATTACACACTCTCTAGGCATTGTGCTTTTCTCTTTATGTGTATTATTTCTAATATTTAAATGAATCCTACATGAATTCAAATAAGAATTTCAGAGTTCAGAGAAGTTATTAGAGAAATTCTCAAAAACTAGAAACCATCTGGATTGAAAGATCTTACTGCCCAACAATTTGTATTATAAATGTTACATGAATCAAATTCACTGTGCAAATAGCCAGCCCCTTAGATTCACACAGATACCATTCATTCAGTTCTCTTAGATGGCACACGATGCCAGTGAATGGAGTCTCTGGGCCCACCAACTGAAAGACACATACTCTTTGTACCTTAGCAGCCAGAGATACATCCAAGTTAGGCCCCAATATTTCCTGGTCTTACAAATGGCTATCAGCACACATCTGTGAGAGAGGGAGCAGGTGTAAGGGGAACAACCTCAGAATTATTTTCTCTCAATAAAACTTAAGAACAAACCACAATGCTGGCTTCATCATAACTGTGCTGAAACCAACTGAGCTAACCAGAGTATACAATAGAAACTAATGAACATTTGCCATTTTTCTTTTGGCTGCCTGATATCAGAACCTCTTGCCAGTGTTTATGAAATTTTCCACCTGCTTTCAGCTAAATAAGCTAAAAGTGTCAGATTCTCACTTTCCTGATTTCTTTTCAATCAGGATATAGGCACAGGACCTAACTTCTGCCAGACACCACCCATGCAAGCATTTGTTTTTGTGTTTATTATTATTTAAATAGCTTTGGGGGAACAGATGGTGCTTGGATAAACAACTTACACGGGTAAGTTCTTTAGTTGTGATTTCTGAGATTTTGATGTACCCAGCACCCGAGCAGTGTACACTGTACCCAATGTGTAGTCTTTTATCCCTCAACTACTCCCACCCTCCCCTCTGAGGCTCAAAAGTCCATTGTTTCATTCTTATGCCTTTGCATCCACACAGCTTAGCTCACATTTATAAGTGAGAAAATACAATGTTCAGTTTTCTATTCCTGAGTTACTTCACTTAGAATAATGGTCTCCAACTCCATCCATATTGCTGCAAATGCTATTATTTCATTCCTTTTTATAGCTGAGTAGTATTCCATGGTGTATGTATGTATGTGTGCATATGTGTGTATATGTATATGTGTATATATGTACATATATGTGTACATATACATATAATACACACACACATGCAAAATATATTTTTCTTTATTCATTCGATTGATGGGCATTTGGGCTAGGTCCATATTTTTGCAATTGTGAATTGTGCTGCTATAAACACACGGCATACAGGCATCTGAATCAGTAATGAGTGCTGCAAAACAGCAAGAATAGTAGATGATTGTCTTCTACTGACAGGAGCAACATCCAGTTCCAGGGGCAGCCCCACACCCAATGTCCAATGCAGGCAATGGTGGTGGTGTAGGTGGAGGCATCCAATATTCAGTAGCTACCAATTCTGTGAGGTTTTCTGACTGCAGTTCCAGCAGTACTGCCCCCTA